CATATATATATATATATGTATATATATATATACATATTTGTATACATGTCTTTACATGTGTATGTTTAGGCAAATGAGCGTGTAACCATGCATGTATTCCTTTGTTAATGTGTATGTGTAAATATTTTTCTTTCGGTTAATAAACATCCTTTCAAGTTATCGAAAAGGATGTTACACTTCGAAGTTCTGGATGAGTTTTTCCCTTTATAAAATCACTTAGGAAATTACAATATGATACGGAATCACCTCAAGTTCCTTTATTCGTACTATATTCCGTTTCAATTCCCTTATTCTTGCTCGAGATTGAGATTCATTTACTGAACAATTCTTACTTCCTTTCGTAACGGCATGTGCTTGACGCTGTTATCCTCGGCAGCATCCGAAGTGGGCGGGCGTAACGAGGGAAGTCGCAGGTGATTGGTCATCTAATTTTCCGAAAGACTGGAGGCCTACAGTTGTCACGCAAGGAACTATGCGCATTTATTTCCAGATGTGCGATGTATTAATTCAAGATCTGATGATATAAACCAATTCCGATATTCTAAAGCGACATGGAAAAGCATGCTCATAAACAGCTTAGGAATGAGAAATAGGAATGGCGGTAGAAATAAGAAAGGACAGCCTTAGAAGTGCGGACATTACCCACCCTCACCCGACAGTACCGACGTCCTTGAACGTACAATTTAGAAATGAAACTGAAATATGATTGAAACCGTTCACACCGGAGTATAAATAGCGCTACACTTCCATAAGATCGACAGAGTTCCTGAACTCGACCCTCAAGTCACTTCTACCTCATCTAACTACTGATTACCTGGAAGGTAGGACTACTTATTTCCCGCGAGATTTCAAGAAGTGAATCATGTAGGGTTTACGACATTTAAGTGAAAGATAAGCGCATGTTAATCATTTATTCTAAATCATTTATTAATAGAAACCAACTATGTACAATTGATACATATTGCATGATATAATACCGCCTGTGTGATTGTGTGTGTGTATACTGTGTATATATAAATAAACATATACATGTATATGTAAATATATATGTGTGTGTATGTGCGTGTGTCTGCATGCGCGTATGTATGTATATATGGGTATTTGTAAACATATATAATATATATATGTAAATATATTTCTGATGTACACAGAAATACATATATATGCATAAATATACATATATTCAGACATATGTATATCAATATGTGTATATTTATTGCAATAACTATATATGGATAAATACATACATTATGAATATATGCCCATATTCATATATGTGTGTGTACATATACATATATAGATATATAGATGCATATATATGCATATGTATTTATATAGATCTAGATAGAAATATTTCTGTGAGTGTGCCTACAGGTATATGATTATATATATATATATATATATATATATATAATATATATATATATATATATATATAATATATATATATATATATATATATATATATATATATGTATATGTATATATATGTATATATATATATATATATATATATATATATATATATATATATATATATGCGCATGTTCGTATGGATGTGTGTGAATGTGTGTATACATGTGTGGGTAGGTGTGTTTGTGCACACATGTATAAATACATGTATCCATATATAAGTGTTAATATATAGATATGTGTATATATATACAAATATTTATGAATATGCATCTATATGTATATGTATACATAAATATGCCCATATAGATGTATTCATTAAATATATGTGTGTGAGTGTGGTTGTGTGCATATTTGTATATATGTGTGTGTGTGTGTGTGTGTGTGTGTGTGTGGTGTGTGTGTGTGGGTTGCGCACATATACACATATAGAAATACATGTGTCAATATCTATGTTTGTATGTGTGTGTGTGCATGCGCCCATAGTGATGAATTATATATATATATATATATATATATATATATATATATATATATATATATATATATATATATAAACATGTAAATATATATGTGTGTTTATGCTTATATGAGTGTGTGTATGTATATGTATTAATAATATATATATATATATATATATATATAATATAATATATATGTATATACATATATATATATATATATATATATATATATGTATGTATGTATGTATGTATATTTATATATGCATGTATAAAAAAGTATGAATGAAAATGAATATCTTCACAATATGAGATATAAGTAAATCTTTTATATTGTGAAGATATTCATTCTCATTCATACCTTTTCTATATTTGTCAACATAAATACGGTTCATATATATATGCGTGTAGGCACATACACACACACAAACACCACACACACACACATATGAATATATATATTCATAATATGCGTGTGTATGTACATACCGTTGAATGGTTCTTATCCTTAATATGTCATTCAAACGATGTGTGTTTGTGTGTGTGTGGTTCTGTATATATATATATATATATATATATATATATATTATTATATATATATATATTATATTATATATCCATATACATGTGTGTGCGCGCTCCCGCGCGCAAACACAAAGAGATATGTATATATGTTTGTATACATGTATATACATACATGTGTACATATATACATATATGTATGTGTCCATATATATGTATTCATATATGTATATGTATATATTCATAAATACATATGTTCGTTTATATATATATATATATAATATATATATATATATATATATATACATATTTCTATGTATGTCCAAAAAAAAAAAGGTGAAGATAAACTCTTAATGCCCAAACACGCTAACAAAACCATTGTATTTGTGGTAAAATTGATATATATTTTCATGTGTAGAACCATTTCACTCGACATATATGTCCTGCATCTGTTGTTTCTGTCGACCGGTTGATAAGTCTCGCGGCTCATCTGGGCGATAAAGTCCTCTCGGTCAGCCCACACCGCATGGAGAAGTTGCACAGATAGAGGGGCGCGTGATTGGACTTTATTCCCAAATGAGTGATCGAGACGCGGGCCTTCCAATCACCGCTGCTCTAATCTGTGGAATTTCTCTTTGCAGGATGTGGCGCTTGACGGCGACGTTGCTGCTGCTGGCTCTGGCCTCGGCCGAACCCCAAGGATATAATTACGAGGAACCCGACAACCAATACCTTCCTCCCGCAAAATGCAAGCTTGCTCCTGTCACCTCCGTCGTCTACAACACTCAGCTCCAAACCTCAGTCCGCCTCCAGACCGTCAATCAAGTCAACACTCAGTACAGAACCACAACCATTGTCAGGCAACAGGTGGTGCCAACCACACTTTTCCAGACTCGTGTTCAAACACAGGTCCAGTATCAGACCAGCGTTGTTCAACAAACAACCGTTCGTGCTGTTGACAGGTTTGTCACCCAGACCGTTCCAAGTCCACCTGTTGTACAAACGCGTTTCGTCACTTCAACCCGTGTGGTGCCGCAGGTCAACTATGTCACACGTACACAGGTGCAGACAGGTTGTTCCTGTAGAGGTGACCAGCACTCAGGTCCGGACTATCATCCAGCCTCTTACTAATTACCAGACACAGGAGCGTCAAGCAACCCGTGTCGTCACTGTCCCAGGCCGTGACGTTGTACAAACTCGTGTTCAGACTGTGTCAGACCTCCATTGTCAGGAGCCAACAGCCAGCTATCACCCGTTTTGTAACATCCACACGTGTGCAACAGGTTGTCCAGACATCTGTCGTCCGTGGACAGGATGTTGTTAGAACTACTGTTGCTCAGCGTCAACAGGTCATTCCTTTCACATCTGTTAACACTCGTTATGAGAATGTCGTTGCTACTCGTCAACAGGTGGTGACGAGAACCAATATTGCTACCCAGACACGCATCCTCACACAGGTGGTACCTCAAGAGGTGGTACGTACTCAGGTGGTTCCCACCACCATCTACACCACTCTCTTCGAGACAAGGGTTCAGCCCTTCACACGGGTGCAGACCGTTGTCAGGACCCAGTACGTCACACCGGTCCCCGTGGTACAAACCCGTCAGGAAGTCCGAACCTCTGTGGTCCAAGTACCCGGCCAAGACCGCGTCGTTAACCGGGAGGTGGTGCAGACCCAACAAAGACAGCAGGTCGTGTACCGCACAGTCAACCAGCCTCGCCAAGTTACTGTCACTCAAACAGTTACTTCCTCTTGTGGTTATAATTACGATGCTCCGTCCGTCCCCTTCATTTTTTAGAGAAAAGCTAAATGATTTCCATCAAAGCTGCGCCCAATGAACCACAGCAATTCAGCAAAGTCTTTTCAGCAAATCTCTTAATATTTCGCTTCCCAGTGAGCTCTGTATTAATGTAAATGTGAAATACATACCGATATACTTTTGCTACAGTTTTATTACTTCCTTTGCATAAGATATACACTATATTACAGGCACTCCATGGTAAGTATCTTGGCATATATCAATTCCGTATTTCTATGCAAGACATTTTTTTTTATGAAAGTCCAATCTATTGTAGGGGATATGCAACTTCTAAGCGAAATCAAGTTATTCCTAGATCATATTTCTATATTCATTCCCTGTCAGTTTTTATGTTTAATCGCTCTCGGTTAACTCAACTAGTGTAATGTTAACATTGTATTCCTTAGGATGAAGACGCTGCTGCTTTCCCTGCTGGTCGGCTGCGCCTTCGGGGCGTCCGTCGAGAGGCCTCGCCGTCAGGTCTTCGGAGCTCGCATTAACCTCGAGTCCTCCTATCTGCCGCCAAAGGAAGAAGCTGACTGCAAGCCATCTGTCGTTTACCGCACGCAGGTTCAGTATTCCACCGTCGTCGTCCCATCAACCGTCTACAAGACAAACGTCCAGTACATCACACAAACATCCGTCCGCACACAGCAAGTCCTCACCACCTTATACTCACAGATCGTCCGCACTCAGCAGGTTCCTTCAGTGCGATACCAAACGATCACTGTCACTCGCACTCAGGAAAACCTACGCACACAGGTCGTCACTCTTCCTCCTCAGGTCAATTACGTGACTCGTACTCAGCAAAGTGTCAGGACCCAAGTGCAGTACCAGACAAGGTATGAGACTCGCATCCAGCAGGTACCAACCACCATTGTTAGAAACGTCGTCTCAACACAGGTGGTACCGAAGCAGGTGGTCAGCACCGTCTACAGAACACAGACGGTCATAAGGACACAGCAGTTGCCAGATCAGACTCGTATTGTACCCACTACTCAATACAGCACTCGTTATTCTACTGTAGTCATACCTACAGAACGTCGTCAGGACTACCCAGCTTGTCAGGACCAACGTCGTCACACAAACCATCACACAGCCCGGCCAGACTCGAGTCATCACTTCTACACAGCTGGTTCCAGTCACCACACCGTCATCTCGCAGGTGGTTCGCACTAACACGCAGATTCAGTACGTAACACGTACACAGGTAGAACAGCGAGTCTCCACTGTCGTTCGTACGCAGCAGGTGCCACAGTACAACACAAGGATTGTCACCGTTCCTCAGCAGGTCGTCAGGACACAGGTTTCTACCCGAGTGGTTCCTACAACCATCTACGCTCAGAGGACAGCGTCTTCATACATCAACCTTCCCGTTCAGACACGCTACGTCACAGTCACTCAAACCTCCATCAGGACACAACAACTGGCCGGTCAGACCCGCACTCAATACAACACCAGAATCGTCTACAACACCAATTACGTGACTTCTACCGTATACAGGGAACAGTATAACACCGTGACGGCCACCCAAACCGTCAAAGGAGACTGCGGCTACAGCTACGCTGCACCCGCTCGCGCCTTCAACCCCTTCTCCGGCTAGACGACAAAGTCGGCGTTGAAGTCGGCGTTTCTTCAGAGAAATGGGAATTCATATGCGTTACATTAAAGAAATCATTTAACATGCATCATATAGATAATGTTTGAAGCTTTCTTAACTGCAGTTTGGAAAGTTCTATTTCCTACTCATATCTTACTCGAATAATTACCAGCATATAATAAATTTCACATCGAAAAAGTCGTAGTTTTCCTTGGCCATTCGTGAAACCACTTCAGATAACATAAATCAGAGTTGTTTGAAACTCTAGTTACTGATCGCATTGTTACATATATATAAGATGAAAGCGAAGATGAAATCAGTGATAAGGTAATAAGAGCGTCCTCTCAAGTGCCGTAGGTAATACACCGTGGTTTGTAAGTCCAGTCAAATATTGGTTTCACATAAATACTTTAGCACTTTTAAACACACAAAGGCAAACAATTCCAATATAATTCTAAGGATGACACCATAAAAAAGACTGGCGAAAACCTGAATACTTTTATAATAATGAATTTCTTATCAGGCATATGTATTCATAGTCAGAAAAATTTATATTATGAATTTTTAAAAAATGTAGTACAGAAAGGATATAAATGTATAGAGAAGGATATATATGCTATATAGTGTGTTAAAATAACCTTTTAAAAATATTCTTTAGCAATTCTATCAAAGATCTTTGAAGTATATGGAGTCTATAATTTTGATAACAAGTATTGAACACAACTAAATCTATATATAAATGTCTGGGGATGTACATGAACATATGCAGACAAACACACACACAATATTCATATTCATATATATATGTATATTATATATAAGTATATATATATATATATATATATATATATATATGAATATGCATATGTATATGCATGAATATATATGTGTGTATATATATGCATACATATGTATGTATGAATTCGAATGTTTATATGCATCTGTATATGTATGTATGTATTATATGTACATATATATATACATATATATGCATGTGTTGTGTGCATATGTAAATAGATATATAAGTATTTATGTATATACATATACATGTATGTATATATATATATGTATATAATGTATATGCATATACATGTATATATGTATGTATATATTTATATATGTTTCTCTGAAAACGAGAGATACACATGAGCCTTAATGAGAATTCAAAAAATGTTACATTTCCAGCTTTTCACGAATTCTTCTTCAGACAAATAATAAGCCAAAATGGATATGTTTGTATATATATACATACATGCATATGTATACATATATATACATAAGTTTATAAATGAGATTATATATTGCTTACATTGATTCTATGTATAAAAGTGTGTGTGTTTGTGTGTGCGTGTGTTAATATGTATACATATAAATGTATATACATATCTAATGAGTATGTACATATATGTTGTGTGTGTATCTGTATGCATGTATGTACCAGTGAGTGTGTTTGTGCATGTTTATGTATACATTTATAGATAGATATGAATATAGATGTATATGTGTGTGTGTGTGTGTGTGTGTGTGTGTGTGTGTGTATGTGTGTGTGTGTGTGTGTGTGTGTGTGTGTGTACGCGTGTTTGTGTGTATGTTTATATGTATTGTGTGTTGTGCATGTATATATATATACATATACATATATGTACATATATGATATGATATATATATATGTATATATGTGTGTGTGTGTGTGTGTGTGTGTGTGT